TATTCAGCATTGTACACTGTTATACAGCATTTATTCAATGTGTATGCTTATTTGTGACTGTGAATTGTTTGTTGGGATGGGTCTTCATCAGATCAGAGCTTTTAAAAAACGTGCCAAACCCACCACGCGATAAATCAATTCACATGAGAATTCAAAAAGAAGATCAATAAGAGGCATGATGAGTTACCAGCACCATGTTGGCCACACCCGGAAACGTTCCGGGTATCCCCGGGGAAGTGGTAAATCGTTTTTAGATCAAAATCCATCAAGCGATACATCAAATTACATTAGAATTCAAAGCCATATCCATTGGCGGTCAAACTGAGTATCGTATGAACTATATTGACCATATCTGGATATGTTCCAGATACCCTAGGGGAAGTGGACAAAATCTGTCTTAAGACAAATCTCATAATACGATGTGTTGTCTAACATTTCAAACAAACCAAATGTTTTTAAATTTTCACGCGAATTGGTTGTCTGGTGCAGCAAATGATATCAGATAGCTGAAATATGATAAGTAAGACTGAATTTATATATTTCCATAAAGTATGGCTACGATATTTTGACTCCGGGAATCCCGGAAATCGATTCTGTATGACATAATAATATCACAGGCAAAAGTATCTTGCGGCATGTCAAATCATGTAAAATAGGTAGAATCAAGTGAATGAAGATGATTTGAAATTATTTTGGTCAGCTTGGCATCGGTTCCAAAACGCGGATCTGTGAATTCCGGCGAACAGTTTGTTGGAATATAATTACATTGAGTTTATGATATCATATTATGCCAAAATGACAAGCTATGATCAATGAAATCAGGTTGTAGTGTATCTGATGACATATGGTCACATTGCCATCGGTTCCGGGATTCCGGAATTCCATTTCATAGATTCCGCAATACGATTCGGTAAGGGGCATTTAAGGCAAATGAATCATACAGCATAGCATAGGATATGGCCATGAACGATTATTTCAAATAATTTAATTGTCAAATAGACACATTGGCATCTGTTTCAAGACTTACAGGATCTGGTTCCGTAAATTCTGGATTATGACTAGAAATGATATATTTGAAACTACTATATCGCGCGGTATGTAAAATCATGCATGTTCAACCGAGGTGTATACTAGGGTGTCCCAAAGGGTGTTACAAACAAACTTTTGTATGGCGGCAACTCTGGGAAATGTTGTTTAGAGGTCACCCCGACGATATTTTTGAAAAAAGTCCATTTTTCATAGCTATTATCCAATAAATATTTTTAGTTCTTTAAATTTCAGTGAAATCTCACCCTTTTATATTTTTCGCAGATTACCAAGGGTCAAAACTATAAGAGAAAAATTGCTACGGCATGTTCTGTGTCCAATTTGTTAGTTTTTTTTTCCTCTGTTCGGAACCTAACTCAACTGCGACCAGTAAATTGATCTATTGTAGTACAATAGTTTATTAGTTACAATTTTTCAAATTCTCTAAAATGATGTTTTTTGTTGTACATCACTGCATTCAATCATCAAAAGTGGGTACCAAACATAGCGCTATTATCAATCAAATGCAGCAAAAATATGGGAAATTTTATAAGCAAAAACTTTGCCCCAGACACTTTAACCTCATTTTTAACCGTTAAAAAGTTATTCGTGATTTACTGTGGAAAGTAAAGTTCAGCATTTCAATACTTGCAGTATGTCCACTAGGGTGCTTCATTCTGAAAAAAGTGATGAATTTCTGATGGGCCACCCTCCAGTTCGATTCATAGCCCCAAAATATGAACCTGTGCAAAAATTGGTAAAGATTGATGAAGGTTTAGAGGTCGCGCCAATGATTTGAAATTTGTATGGGAATTACTATGGAAGAATTTAAAAAATCGCTTATATCGCTATAACTTTGCTTCTACTTGTCCAAATGTCGAAAAAATTTAGTATGTTATTGCTATGGCAATAAACAAAAAGCCTACAGTTGCTACGCTCAGTTTTGCAGCGTATCAAGAATTATAAAAATGTGAAAAAATGGCAAAATAGGGTAAATTGACAGATGAATATGTACAAGGCAACAACGTCAATTTCATCGCAACAACAACAGGCTTGTTGATCATTGTCATGACAACCACATATTTTTTTTTTTCAACGTTTGGACAACTACAACCAAAGTTAGAGCAATGTAAACGAAAATCAATAATTTCCCATACTAATTCACCAAAATCTCCATACAAAATCCAAATCATTGGCGCGACCTCTAAACCTTCATCAATCTTTACCATTTTTTGCACAGGTTCATATTTTGGGGCTATGAATCGAACTGGAGGGTGGCCTATCAAAAATTCATCACTTTTTTCAAAATGAAACACCCTAATGTCCACCAGCAAATCAAACTATCATTGAAGTCGATAAATACAAATCACCTACTTTGTTGCAAATCACTTGATAAAATTTGTTTCGAAGTTTCTAGAATTCAATAGGAGGATATATGAGCGGAGAGGGATCACACAATTTATTAGTTTCCATTTGATTGCCGTAGCAAGCTGAACCAAAAAAGAAAATCATGTTCTCCGCAAATCATTCCAGCCCAATAAACGAGGCTAAAATAATTCATAGAGTGCAAAAAATCAAATAACCACAGCAAATTCATGTGAAACTGCCAAATTGCTAATACGACAACCTATTCGTTTCTGTATTACATTCTACAACTTGTTTTCAGACACAATTACGGATAACAGTTTTAAAGTTAGAATTTATTGAAAAATTCATATGTGAAAACACATACACCCGTTTCAAAAATCAGTCTTTAGTAAAAATGGTCTCGTGATCTGTGGAAAAAATCATAATCCCCCATACTGAAGACATGTTGAATGTTTCATCAAAATCTGAGGGGCTCGTGCCAAGTCGTTTGCTTATTTGACAGAGAAGCTGGTAAATTTACATGTTTGTAGCAGTTACATACCAAAATCTGTAAAATAACATGCTACATTTTTTTATCGTTTGTCTATAACTGAATTTTTAGTTTGTCAACATCTGCATTCGATATTGATGGGTTGGGAACTTATTGAATTTGAAAATATGAAAAAGAATAAAAGAATTATTGAAAAAGGCTGTTCTATAGCATATAATGTACTTCTATAAAGTTTCTTGATCTTTCTCACCGTTCCCTGAACTTCTACTACGAAGTTCTCTCAAATCAAATGATGTTCCCTTAACTTCCCGAACTTCTGCTAACCCTCTACTGCCTAAATTTTATTTTTTGCTCTGCATGCTTTCTTTCGAAATCTGGAGGCGAACCAGCCCAAGGCTGAAAGCCTCCTTAATAAAGCTAAATAATAATAATTTCTTTCGAAATGGAGGCCAATATGAAAACATTAGAAAATTATGTTGCTCGAGATGTATTTAGCTTGTCTAGATCAGTTTTTGAAAAAAAAATGTTTTTTCCTTTTACAAATTTGTTAAAGCTGAAACTATAATTCACGTGTAATTGCTAAATTGCTGAAAAATCTGTCCAGTCCAAATTTCATTACAAAGAAATTTTCATTTAGAAGTTAAGCGCATTTTTTCCAATGACATATTTTTTTGCTGAAAATAATTTTTCAACATCTCTTCACAGAAGAATTCTGTTACCGATTTATTAGAAATATTCATGTAAATGGTAGATAACAAGTGTACCTTTTCAACCATTGGCACAACATTTGTTAAACAATCCGATTTGGCTCGTCCCAGCTCTTTATAATTACCCTGCTAAATGGTAGACTTGGACAGTAGTGTTTTAAAAATCTAACACTGCTTCTTGATTCAATTTTGTCCTAAAAGTTTTAATTCCGCCGGAAAAAATTAAAACGTCATTGGATTCACTTCGGCATACGAATGAAACGTAGACAAAGTGGATTCGCTAAGAGCACTTTTTTGTATTGAAATTGTAAATATTAATATTTTGCGTTCTTAAAGACTCTGTATTGAAGCTTTTGAACTAAACTATGATTGATTCGTTAACATCTTAGTCATTGATATATTTGATGTTTTCTGCTCGATATGACGGAAATAGGCATATATATTGAATTATTTCTTTACCCTACATACATTTCGATTGCCTGTGGAAGCAAAAAGTATATTCTGTGTCAAATCGAACATATTTGGTATTAAATTGTGAACGTAAGTTGCGGATGCTTTAAAATTGCCTTTCTTTATCTGCTTCAACTCCATTCTCAAGCAATTTATGCTACATTACCAGTATTTTGCATAGCGGGAAGCTCGATCAGGTCTAAACGATCTGACTTGAGTCCGTTTACACGGATTGAATGTATGTGGGAATGTAATTTCCCAATTCCAAATCACTGCAATCACCTTCCAGTTTGCATCGATAGAAATAAACCTTCCACAGCCGATTCCGAAAAACACTTTGCAACCCTGAAAAAATCGATCTGATTCCATTGATTACTCGGTTCTTTTAAACACTCTACCGATTACCGTACCGTCGATGGGTTTGACGTCACTTTATGTTTATTCTAATTTCATGAGCACCATCAGTTCGGCAGAGGCAACGCGGAATAAAATCCCATCACAATCAAACATGATGGGATAATACCGAAAAATGGAGAATGGAATTTAATTTTGAAGGCAGCGGAAGATTAATGTTGCGTGTGCCCCTTCGAAAAAAAAAACCAAACCACCAAACAACACAACCCTACTGACGGACGTCGACGACAAAGGCGATGAGGGCAGCAAATTCTCTTGTTGCTGCCGAAACCGACAACAGCAGGTATACAGGCAGTGTAACAGAAAACTCCATCATCCAGCCAGCCAGCCAACCAACCAACCTTGTCTCAGTCAGATAGGACGGGGGAGGATTCTCCACATTCGCTCTCTGGTTTTGTGTGTTTTCTTGTTTTTACGATGTTTTTTTTTTCCTCCAAGATCTTTTCACTCATCCCGCGAAGAAACCAACCATACACGTACGTATACGTGCAGCCTCTTTTAAGCCTTCTTTAAACCACTAGCATTTTTCGAACCCGAATACACACCACTTTTCCAATGCTGGATAACGTTTTACGTTGAAGTTGGACTTAAAGCCTTCAGTTGCAGCAGCCTCACCGTTCACCAGAACCATCAGGATTATTCCGAGGAGAGTGTGAGAGCAGGAGACTCACCCCGTCGTCGTTCTGCAGGATGGTACTTTATTCTCTCTTTCCAGGAATTTTTCCGCTTTCTGGACGATTATATTCCAATTATTGATAATAAATCTTGCGATACACGGTGTACTGTGACACATATACAAACACACACAATTGGTTTTGCACTTTCACCTTCTGTTTGCTGGCGAATTCTGATGGTTATTGGGAGTTGAGAGGATTTTCTCGATTTTCCTGCAACGAATTTAATCCTCGAATTGCCGCAGTGGTCGGATTTCAAGGCGAAATCCAACGCTAACTAATCAAAAATTCCGAAGTCAAATCACTCTTCTCGCCTGGCTGTCGTGTTTCGAGGGTCGTCGTAAACGGAAAAACGGCGAGGAGTCTTCAGCTATAAATTCCTGGTCTGGCATACACGCACACACGACACGGCACTACATAGCTGGAAAAGATTTCGTAAAATTTAATCCTCCTGAACAACGATCTTCCTACACACGGTATTATCCTTGTCGAATGCGAACGTTTTCGCGATGTGCTCTTCCCATTGTTCCTGTTCTTCCTGCTCAATAAGCCAGTTGTTCTCCTCTGTCAGCGCACTGCTTGACCATTGTTCTCCGATTCTTCCTCTAATTAAAAACTGTTTTCCATTCCTTCACCACCGTCGTCGTCGTCGCTTCTCATGACTCCGACGATCCACAAAACAATCCCAGCATCCTTTTGCTTAGGCACCTACCACCCACACTCTCGACGTCAGCACTCTCCAAACTCTCCCAGGTTTGCTTTTTCTCACGGCACGGCTTTCACTCTTCTTCACGCTTATCACATCGACCCCCTGTTGCAGACGCATACCTACACACATACGTGATCCAGCAAGCAAGCAAGCAAGCAACAAGATTCGCACAGGCCTAGGCCAAGGACCATCATATTCCCACCCACTAGACTTCACCTTCGCCTGTTCGCAATGACGACACGCTACCAAACCGCAAACAGACACACCATCACCATCAGGAGACTGTGAGAAGAATCCCTGCCCCGTCCCGCTCACCCAGGATCCTTCCTTTCCCACGCACACACACAACACGGAGAATCAAGAGAACAACGGGAGGTCACTGATACTGCCTCTGCGAAAAGAACAAACTGGCCAGCGCAGGTTCTTAAACCGTCCCACCGAATAAGCACACAGTCCGAACGCGCCAACGTTTCTGACGGCACTGAACTGGATTTCCCTCGGTCCAGTAGCGGAAAACTCATCCACACACAGACGGCCAATGACAGTTACGCAAAATTGAGTAGAATTTGATTCAAAATTGCAAAGAGTGGGGCTACTCAATGAATGAGTAAAATTTTCCTCGATTTTCCTGGAAAAACTTCTTGAGCATGAGGAAAAATCGAGAGATATTTTACTCAGTCTATTAGTGCACTCCTAGACTGAGTAATATTTTGAGTCAAATTCGACTTATCTAGTGAGCTACTCTCATCGGCCGTGCATCATTTTCTCACGCTCTCTTGCTCGCAAAAAAACGCTCCATTTTCACTGCATTCATCGCAGAGCGAGCGGAGCGCGGAAAAACCACGTGAGAATCCAACCATCCAAAAGAGCTAAGGACTATCACCGCCGCCGGTCACCGAGAGAAATCAGGTCGTCCTGTTGCGCCTATTGCCCTCCACGTGGTGAGTTGTTTGGTTCACTGTGCCACTACTCACCGTCGAACTGCTCACGGTTGGCAACTAAAATTAGGACAACCGACCGACCGAGCGGCTCACATTCGGATTATGCTGCGGAGTTGGAAAATGCTCTACGGCTTCATCAATGCTGCGAGATAAAACGAGATCCAGAAGGTGGCGATGCCGACATGTGTTTTCTCTCGCTGAGTACAGAGTCTGTGATCATCTCCGACAAAGGCGGCTAACAATGCGATTGAGAAGTGAAGAAGCTGCCGACGGCGATGATGATTATTATTTTATTTGCGCTGATTATATACGCTCAAAGGATCCCGGATGATGGGTTTCGGTTGGTAGATTGAAATGCTTAATCGATGGGAAAGATCAACCAAACGTTTTCAACGGAATAAACGTGTGATTTCAGCTAGAAATAAGGAAGTGGGTGTTTCTCATATGCGGTAAACTTCAAACGAGTTTTAAGGAAACCTTCAATTTGTTTTTAGTAACTCAGAGGAGATTATAGCTCGGGTAGTTCAAATTATTCCTGTATTAAACACTGCTTGTGACGGTACAGTACAGAGACGATGTTAAATAAGAGACACGCGAAGACTGAAGCCAAAAGTTCCAATCGAACCGTCAAACGCGGTTCCAATCGAGCAATGTAAATAAACATGAGCGCTTCACGAATAAAAGCGTGGGAAGTATTGAGATTGGGGTTGAATATAATTATTGAGGTTGGTTGGTTTTTTAAGGAGATTTTCAGCAAGACGCTGGTTAACTGTTGAGAATTAAATAATTATAATTAAGTGACAAGTGAAATTGGACAGGGAATATTATTGTTATTCAACAGCTGTATTCTCGTTATGTTCTCACGAAATATTTGCTCCAGCACAACGAAATACATTTACACAGGCTCTGTAACAAAGATCAAGGCGTTTCCGGTGTAATTTTTCAAGATAGTAAAATTTGAGAAAGACTTAAAAAGAGATTTCACTTATACATGATAAGGAGCAACAATTGCAGATTGAATAATTTTGTGCAACGCTCTGTAGAATATACCCTCCAATGTGGTATATTTAGTTTCATTCAGTTGTCAAAAATTGAGTCTTCAAATACTTCCATTGAATAGCGATACTACTCATTTAAAGTAAACACAAAACTGCGTGTTGCCAAATCTTGCAGAAAAATAAATTAGTTTGCCGTGCAACCAGATTTACTTTTATTCTCTCCTCGCGTCTCGTATATAACATCGTCTCTGGTACAGTAGTGGCTCGGGCGAACTGTCAACAAAACTGTCCCAGTGACAGAACCGAAAGAGAGGAGGGAGAGAGAGCGTGACGATCTACATTGTCTCGTTTATTGTAGTTCACTCTATTGAAGTCAATCAAGTAAACGTGCTATCAGAAGGTGAAAAGTTAATAAAAATTGGATTAAATTTGCTTAAAATTACATAAAATTATTCCTTACAGCTAATAATCATACCGCTAAGCCTATTATTATTGAAATTAGTTGTTCCTACCAAAAGTTTTATACGAATTCATGCAAATTGCAAGTTGTAAACTTAAATTGTTTGAACCTAACCTAACTTACCTTAATCATGCAGGAAAAAGTGGAAAGTATTGTCTAGTACAAATGAATTGTCCTTAAGATTAAATACACATACACACCGATTTTTGTAAGTAAAACTAAATCTAATGAACTACTCTAAAACTAACCTAAAAATAAACTGACAGCTAAAACTACATTACAACAAAAGTACCGTCATTGTGATTTGCTAGAAGAAATCGTACCGTGGGGCATATTCGATCGATAAACATTGGGAACACCGCACATTTCAAAGTTTGAGCTCATTTTGATTTAATCTGAAGTGTGTTTGCGAATTATTAAGGGAAAAGGATTTGATCACTATAACAAATGCATCTGCGGCATTAGGCATAACTATAATTGCTGTAACAGCATTTATTTCAACACTCCTATTTCCAAATGAAATCTACTATAGTACACACTTGAAGCAACCGGTCTAAGCTAACGATTTTTAATTGGCTCACTACTTGACTAGCCTATTGGTCCCAAGCAAATTGATTAACGTATCCCATTCTAGTCTAAATTCTAGTACTACACTATGTTTGTTTTGATTCGCTATGAAAGTTTGACAGATAAAATAAGGGGTTCATGGATTTTTCCTATATTTCGAGGGGTGCATCGATTAGCTTGGGAACGAAGATAGTACCAGAGCTAAGCCAAAAAGTTGAGCTCGTTTCTTCGGGACCTACTAGCCTTAGAGTTACCTCTATGCTTGAAGTACAAATGTTAATATCTATGTTTAATCGATTTGTTTTACACGAAACTACAACTTTAATTTGACAAACCATTTCACAAACATTTCACACAAGTCTAGCGGCACTGGTGGTGTAAAGGGTGTATTCGATAAAAATGGCACACCGAAAATATTCTGTAACTTTTGAACCATATGAGTAAAAAACCTGAAAATTTTAGTAAACCTTATTCATAGTGTATTGTTTACATCTGTCTGGTTTCATAGTTATTCATACAGTAGTTCCAGTCATGTCGTCAAAACAAGAAATTGTCCGTGAACAAATGTTGTGCACTTACAATCAAAATCCAGAGGCGTGCCACCGATGGATCGCTAAAAGCAACTGTGTCTCGTGCGATAAGAAACTTCAAGTAGCGTCTGAGAAACGAAGGGAGTGCCCCAAACCGGAATGAAAAGTAAAAGATCACTGCGAAAACTCGCGCCCGGAAACTTTACACGAAGCTGCTCACCAAATAATGTTGCATCGTGATGGATGACGAAACTAGCGTCAAAGCCGACTTCCGTCAACTTCCTGGGCATTTTTTCTCTTGTCTTTATGATAGAGATTTTAAGCCATATGGCTAGTTCATCTCTTACAACTTCCTGGACAGAATATTTCGTTGCCAAGTCTAATTTCGATGTTCCGGAGGATGTTCGAAAGGAGAAATTATTGAAATTTGCAAAGAAGTTTCTTGTTCTGGCGATTTGCGGACGTGGTGAAATAGGCGCTCCCTTCATAACTTCCGGAATAATCAACGGTGCGATATACACGGAAAAGTGCCTTAAGAAGCGTCTCTTGCCATTCATAAGGAAGCACAAAAGATCAACTCTGTTTTGGCCTGATCTAACACCCTGCCACTACGCTCGAAACGTGTTGGAGCGATACCGACCCAACGGAGTCAATTTTGTGTCAAAAGTTATGAATCCACCAAATTAACCGGAACTTTGCAAACATCCCAAAACTATTAAAACAGAGCTGGAGTTGAAGAAAATTTGGGTAAAAACAACAAAAACACTGGAAATGAAAAGGATGGTGCGGGCCTTCGGGATGGGAGACGAAATTGAGTAAAACAAATTTTGTAAATCACAACTCATTAGCAGTTTTTCATTCCCTGCAAATTTCAAGATAATCCGATAATCTGTTTAATTTTGGTGAGTAAATATATGTGTGCCATTTTTTTCGAATACACCCTTTAGTGGTAAGCTTAATTGCCTCTCACTCCAAGGGGCTTGGTTTCAATCCCAGTCAGTGCCACCAGGATTTTATCAGGCATAAAATCTCTGATCGAAGGCGTGAAGCCGTTGGTCCCCAGTCCATGAGTTGATGGGTCGTTATGTTGGGTCCAGGTGTGGAAGCTGCCTCCATGGCGTCGGTAGCATTGGTACTCAGCACGGAAATCAAGATCGACGGAAAACAAATCATAGGAAAAAACAACAACTTTTGCTG